GATCCATATTTGTGCCTGTTCCAAAGAAAGGTGATCCAACAGAATATAGAAATTATCGAACAATATCATTAGTATCACACGCAAGTAAAATTTTGCTGAAGATAATTCAAAAACAGTTGCAGCAGTACATTGACAGGGAACTGCCAGAAATTGAAGCCGGATTCAAAAGAGTATGTGGAACGGGGGATATCATTGCTGATGTCAGATGGATCTTGGCTGAAAGCAGAGAATACCAGAAAGATGCTTAACCTGTGTTTTAATTGACTGTGTGGATCATAACAAATATGGATAACATTGCGAAGAATGGGAATTCCAGAACACTTAATTGTACTCATGCGGAAACTTTACATAGACCAAGAGGCAGTCGTTTGAACAGAAGAAGGGGATGCTGCCTGGTTTAAAATCAGGAAAGGTGTGTGTCATGGTTGTATCCTTTCACCATACTTACTCAATCTGTATGCTAGGCATATAATCTGAGACGCTGGACTATATGATGAAGAGTGGGGCATCAGGATTGGAGGAAGACTCATAAACAACCTGCGATATGCAGATGACACAGCCTTGTTTGCGGAAAACGATGAGGACTTGAAGCACTTACTGGTGAAGATCAAAGACTATAGCCTTCAATGTGGATTATACCTCAACATGAAGAAAATAAAGATCCTCACAACTGGACCAATAAGGAACATCATGATAAATGGAGAAAAGATTGAAGTCGTCAAAGATTTCATTTTACTTGAATCCACGATCAACACCTATGGAAGCAGCAGTCAGGAAATCAAATGACATGTTGCATTGGGCAAATCTGCTGCAAAAGACCTCTTTCAAGTGTTAAAAGCAAAGATGTCACTTTGAGAACTAAGATGCGCCTGACCCAAACCGTGGTATTTTCAATTGCCTCATATGCATGTGAAAGCTGGACAATGAGTAAAGAAGACGAAAGAATTGTTGCCTTTGAATTATGCTGTTGGTGAAGAGTATTGAGTATACCATGGACTACCAGAAGAAGGAACAAATCTGTCTTGGAAGAAGTATAGCTGGAGTGCTCCTTAGAAGGGAGCATGGTGAGACTTCATCTTAAGTACTTTGGACATGTTATCAGGAGGGACTAGTTCCTGGAGAAGGACTTCATACTTCGTAAAGTAGAAGGTCAGTGAAAAAGACGAAGACCGTCAACAAGATGGATTGACACAGTGGCTGCAACAGTGGGCTCATATGTAGCAAGGATTTTGAGGACGACGCAGGACTGGACAGTGTGTTGTTCTGTTGTGCATAGGATCACTATAAGCTGGAACTGACTCCATAACACCTAACAACACAACAACTATGGAGCAACAGCAATTTGGGTAACTTATATGGGGCTGATCTTAATAGCTAGCATTTACTGAGTGCTAAGTTCTAGGCCCTGTGCTAAGCGCTTAACATGTATTAACTTGTTAAATCTTCATAAGGACTCTGGAAGGTGGGTATTATTGTTATTCCCAGTTAGATGATGAAACTAAGGTCACACACCTGCCAAGTGGTAGAGTAGAATTTGACCCAGGCAGTCTGTCCTCAGAGCCCACGTTTTTAACCTCTAAATAACATTGTCTCACTAAACTTCAGAGTAGAATGCTCATGCTATTGGTTTGATTGTCAGATAGCATTTTCAAATTTTATAAATGATATAAAAAACCCAAGTGTGCCTTGGCTCACTTCATTAATTCATTCAACAATGTTTCTTACTCGTTACTCATGTGCTGTGGTTATGATAGTAAGCATAACCAGACATGCTACATGACATTATGGAACCTTCAATCTGGTGAGGGAGCTATATGTTAATCAAAGAATCACACTGAAAGATGTAAAATTAGAACTAATAAGGATTTCATAGTAGTAGTACATGATGTTATAAAAGCATATTCTGGAAGGAATTGACCTAGACATGGAGGTCAGGAAGCTTCTTGGAAGTCAAGGATGCTTCCTAGAAGGAGTCATAATTGAGCTGAGATATAGAAGAAGAGGAAGAGTTAGCAGGTAAAAAGGGTGGGGAGCAGGAGCATAGCAAGAGCCAAGATGCTGTGGAGAGAAAGAGCACAGTGTTTTAAGAAACAAAGACCAGTGTAGCTGGAGTGTGTATACTGTGAGACAGATTGCATGATGCAAGATGAGACTGGAGAAGAAGTGGGGTTTAGACTGTACTATAGTGAGAATTCCTATTATTATCTCAAAAGCAATGGGAAGCCATTGAAATATTTTAAATATAGGACTGATGTGATCAGATTTGTTCTGCAGAGATCTCCCTGGCTGCTATGGAAGACAGGAGTAGATGGTGGATACCCTTTAAAGGCTATTGTGGTAGTCTAGGCAGGAGATATTGGTAACTTGGACTAAGGAGGTGTATAGCTGGAGTGTATAGTGTGAGCCAGGTTGCATGATGCATCTTGGCACATATAGATAGATGTGGGTGAAACTGAAGAATTGTGCGAAGGAAACACTGTCTGGACATAGTGCTAGGTTGGCTAATGGGGGATGAGAGATAGTGAAGTGTCATGAGTGACTTCTGGGTTTCTGATTTGCCCAGCAGGATTGATGGGTGGTGCCGTACACTGAGTTAGGGAACTTTGGATAAGAACCCTCTTGTTCTTATCTGCCTAAGAACTCTGGGATATAGCTGGAGTTTTATTTTTGTTCACACAATTCAATGTTTAATGTACTCTTACTATGTACCAGGCACTATGGTAGGATGTGGGGATTCATAGTAAACTAGACAAAATGCCTGTCCTAATGGAACTTATATTTTTGTTGTGAGAAATAGACAATCAACAAACATGTTTTTAAAAAGATAATTTTAGGTAGTAGTAAGTGCTATGAATTAAAGGCAACCGAATAATGGAATCTTGAATGACCCCTCCACCCCAAGGATGGGTAAGGCACCTCTGAGGAGATGACATTTTAGCTAAGACCTGACTAGTGAAGGAGGTGTCATGCAGAGATCTGGGGCAGAGATTGTTTTCTAGGTAAGACAGCAAGTGCAAAGCCCTTGGAGCAAGAACAGATGTAGCAAGTTTTAAAACGAGAGACAAGGCCTTTGTGGCTGGTGCCTTGTGAGGGAAGAGGAGAGTGATAGGAAATGAGATTGGGAAGGTAGGCCGGGGTAAGGAGTTTGGATGTTATTCCACCGCACTGAGAGGCCCTTGAAAGATTTGAAGCAACAAAGTAAATATGATCTGGTTTACATGATAAATAAGATCATTCGGGCTTCTCAGTGGAGAATGGGCTACACTCAGGGCCAGAGTGGAAGCAGTGAGGCCAGTAGGAGGCTTTAGGCACAAAAACAGACCACGGAATCTGTTAAATTAAACCTAGGAACTGCGTGCGTTAAAAATAATTTACAGGTTTCATTCATACTTTTTAAACAGTAGTAAAACCAACTTGAAAGAGATCCTAAATTCTCTAACTGTACGTAGAAAAAGGAGAAAACTCAGAAGAACAATATTCCGTTAGAATTATTTGTATTATACTAAGTGATACTCGTAGTTAAAAAGGAAGCATGTGGAAAATTTTATCCTGGCTTTTGATTTAAAATACTTGTTTGCTGGTTGAGACCCCAGACTTTCTCCACTTTGAGGCAATAAGCTCCTTAATTGAAGAAAATGATACCTAAGGTCAAAAAGTAATAGCTTGAATATTGGATTGATAAATTCAAAGTTAATAAGTGAAAGCAGGAATTACACAAAATAATCAGGAGAGTTGGGAACTGTTTTTTACTGCTCTGCATTCCTCTAAAGTAACAAAATTATTTAGGGACTTTCAGGATAGTGATATGTTGTCATTCTGGAAAATAGGAAATCCTGACCAAACTAGAAAATACGTGGTCTTGTACCTACTCTCTAGAAATATCTACTGTAAATTTTTGTCATATGTAGCTATATGTGTGTTAGCGTATTTCTTAAAAAACTCCATTATACTGTACGTATGATTTTATAATCTTTTCTTCTCACCTAGCAATATATTGTGAACCTATTTTCATATCATTAAATATCTCTAATCTTATTTTTAATGGTAGTATGATATGCAGTCTATAGTTATACCATAGCTTTTAAAAACCAAATGCCTATTAGTGAAACATTTAGGCTATTTCTTAATTTTCCTATTCTGAAAAAATGCTGTAAAGCATATCCAGCCTTTAGCTACATTTTTGTTCATATTACGATCATCTTTTTTTGTATAAATACTCCCCAAGTACTATTTTGTGGTAAAAGAATATAAAAATTTTAAAGCTTTTGCTATGTATTGCCAGCCCAGCAGAAAGATTGCGTTCCCACTAACAGTGTATGAGAGTGCTAATTGTCTGCATGCTTGTCAGCTCTGGGGATTACCGTTTTTTAAAAAAAGTCATCTTTGCAACTTGATAAGTGGAAAATTAGTACCTCAGTGCTTTTATTTTGAAGTTAGTTGATTATTAGTGAGGTAGAATATTTTTGCTATTTGTAATTGCAACAGTTAAGTGCTTGGGGTTGGCAGTTTAAATCCACCCAGTGGCTGCAAAAGAGAGAGATCTGGTGATGCTCTCCTGTAAAGATTACAGCCTAGAAAACCCTATGGGTTAGTTCTACTCTGTCACATGGGGTCGCTTTGAGTCAGAATCAACTCAACAGCACCCAACAACACAACAATTTGTGTATATATGAATCGCTTGTTCATATCCTTTTTCTACTTTCCAAATAGGTTTATCTTTTTCTTATTACTTTTAATTATGAGCAATGATAATAATTCTTTGTCAGTTATGTTAAGTTGTATATTTTCCAAGTTGTCATTTGCCTTTTATTTTTAAAATGCATAGTATTTTTTGTTTTAATGTAGCCAGATTTATTTACCTATATTTGTTGTATGCTTATAAAAACCTCCCCCACATGGAGGTTACATACATTTTCACCTACTACTATTATGGTTATATTTTTTATGTTTAATTGTATGCACACACTTGCACCTATCTTTTTAAAAATTTTGTCATTTAGAAAGAAAGTCGCACTATATCCCTACTGACTTCTCCGGCTGCTGGTGTAAAAACAGTTGATCCCCTGCCTTTGAGGGAAGATTCTGAAACTAATATCACCAAATTTGCTGAAGAAACTCATCCAGTTTCAAAAATTCCTGAGTCTCCAGCAGACACCCCTGGGCAGTGTCCTTCTCCACCCCATGCACCATCCTACTGGCATCCTTCTCGTCGAATTCAGGGGTCTCTAAGAGATCCAGAGTTTCAACATAATGGTAATTCTTTTTATTCTTTTTGTTTTCTAAAATGAAGATGTTATACTAATAGATGTAAAAGCTGTAAGTATATACTAAATATTAGTAAATTACATTGTTTGCTTTTTTAGTTAACATAGTAGATTTTCTTAAATAGGAAAAATCTCATCTTTGTAATACTCAATTGAGCTACATTTAGGTTCACTTTTGTATAAGTATGAGATGTCTCTCAGGTTCTTTCTTGCTTCTCCAGGTGTGACAACCAAAAATGTCTTCAGACATTGCCAGATGTCCTTTGTTTATAGGATTCAAGTCAGCAATTGTTTTCCTTTGTTTTATTTTTTTTAGGCATTGCTCTGCTCTTTTCTAACTTCCACTATTACTGTGGAAAAGCCTGATGCTATTTTTATTCTTGATCCTTTGTATGTGGCTTTTTTTTCTTTCTGACAGCTTTTTGAGTTCTTCTCTTCACTGAAATTTTACAGTTACGTGCCTTGGAAAGGGTCTCTTTTTTATTCATTTTGTTGGTATTCAGTAGACCTTCTCAGCTGGAAACTCATGTTCCTCAGTTGTAGGAGATTTTCTTGAATTATTCAGTCAGTATTTTCTTCCCTTCCATTTTCTCTTTTCACTTTTTCTGGCATTCTTCTTATTCAGATGTGTTGGATATGTTGATGCTGTATGTTCTTTTTATACAGCATCCTGTTCTTGTTTCATGGATGGAATGTTTTCTGTCTTTGAGAAGATAAATGATAGTTTGTTTTTGTTTTCTTCTCCCTGAATTGTCTTCAGTTTTCTGTTTGTTTTGGTTCTGTAGTAACGTATAGCTAACTTTGGATACTTCAGAGCATAGTGCTGGAAGGCTGATTTGGAAGAGTTGAGTGTGTGGTGGTGCCTGATGACTAGTTGGTTTAGGTCTCTTTAGGTCTTTAGGTCTTTTTTGTAGCATTATGGGGATTCCTCAAAGAAGAATCTTCCAATCTCCTGCTTATTCCTGTTATGGGAGCTATGTAGGGAATAGTGTTGGAAGTGCCAAAGTTCAGTATTAGATTATCACAAATCCCCCTGTTTTGAACATGGTACCCTTGCCTTCAGTTGAACCTGGTGACCTTCAGTCCAAGAGGCTCTGATTTACCTTCTTTGGAGAAGAAACCTCCATTCTTCTTTTGGGAGAGTGGCAGTTACACAGTTGTGCAAATATAGGGAAGAGATCTGGCAGTCTAACTGTACTGTAAAAAGACTTTCAACTGGTTGTCCTGGTTCAGTCTTACCTTCACTCCCAACTTTCAGTGGTTCTCAGTACCCCCAAATCCTGAGCTGTTAGTGGGAATAAATTGGTTGCTTCTTGGCTTCCCTCTGTTGCTGGCTTAGGACTCAGCTTGCTTGGATGTGAAAATAGGACACTCACTGCCCTTCCATTTGCTTTCTGCCTTTCAAGGTTTTGTTACTATTTTCTTATCTTTCATTTTCTTTGTCCTAAGGGGTTTATGTAATTTTTTGGGTAATGTCTGTATCCAATCTCCCATTTTTAAACAGAAGTCTACTACGTTTGTTTAACGTTTGAATAGTCAATATTATTATTGAAAAAATTCCAGAAACCTAGCCATAGTTTGTTTCAGTACTTTCTGAGCACATTTTACACTAATGAATGTTCCTTCGATAGTAATTTCTATCAAAATATAAAATTAATAAAATTTATGGAAGTCCACTTACAGGAAGCTTTTATTACAAATAAGATATGCTATTTGGCATCTTTGAAGGATAATTTCTTCTTTTCTTTTTAAGTGGGAAAAACAAGGACGAACAATTTCCAGTTGCCGCAACATGATGCCTTTAATGATGAAGGTATTTCAATAGTCAAATAACACAAAATTATGAGGTTCTATTATATGGTGTGTGTGTGTATATATACACAGTATATGTATAATATAATATGGCTCAGTGGTTAAAGTGCTTGGCTGCTAACTGAAAGGTTGGTGATTTGAACCCACTGGCTGCTCTGCAGGAGGAAGATGTGGCAGTCTGCTTCTGTAAGGATTTACAGCCTTGGAAACCCTATGGGGCAGTTCTGCTCTATCCTATGGGGGTTGCTATGAGTCAGAGTCAACTCTACAGCCCTGGGTTTGGTTTATTATATGGTAATAATATAGTCTGACATTTGAGTAGCACTTTATAGTTTACAGAGTACTTCCACAGATGTTTTTTCATTAGATCCTTGAAGCCCTGTAATGGGATGGCCAAGGCTGGGATGGGTTGTGAAATTATCACCATCTAAAGAGAAAACAGACCTAAATCCGCTAAGAACATTTTCTGGATCAAACAGATAATATCAGATTGTGCCCAGCATCACATCTGAGGCCAGTACTTTTTCTGTTTTTCCACCCTATCTAGTTTGGGGCTCAGGAATTTGGCCTAGTATCATATGCATCTTTTTTTTTTTCTTTTTTTTTCAAATGCCTATACTTATCAATTTTCAATTCTCAAAAAAATACATGATTAGGGAAAATGTGTAGTTTTCATTCTGACAGATTCATATGCTTCTAATAGCAGCAGGAATAAATTTGACTTCTTGATGGGAACAATTGAAATTACTATTTTAATTCACACTAAGGAGTATGAAATTACTGCATTTACAAATTTTGAATTTTAAAGTTAATTTGAATGAATACATATTAGAAGTTCACATGCATTCAAGGTTTTTTTTTCCCACTCTTAACAAGTTTGGAACATTTTTTAGATTTCATTGAACTAAACATGAAGTTATGTTTTGAATTGCAAATATCTGGTAACCTTGAATCCAGTTCTATTTTCTTTTTAATGGAAAACCGGTGTTTGCAAATAACGTTGTAATAGATTTGCTTACTCAGAATGAGGAATTTCAGTAATAATGAAGGGTGGTGGTTGTTCTGTGCCGTCGAGTGGATTCCGACTTATAGCATCCCCTATAGGACAGAGTAGAACTGCCCAGCAGGGTTTCCAAAGCTGTAATCTTTATGGAAGTAGATTGCCACATCTTTTCTCTCAAGGAGTGGCTGGTGGGTTTGAAGCACCAGCCTTTCCATTGGCTGAGGGCTTAACACACTGCGCCACCAGGGCTCCTTATAATGAAGAGTAGCATATAAAAATCAACCATTATTTCTGTGTTCAGTGAGATTGTATGGAAATGTGATGTAAGTACTATGTTAAACATTATGTTTACTTACGGCATTTTTGTTTTTAAAAAATTTAAGAAAACTTTATTCTCAGAAAAGCTCTGCTTTTTAAAGTATGACAAGACAATAGGATGATAAATCATTTCTAAATAGTACTGAAATCATAGGCCATGTGTTTCAGGTAATGACATTGTGGGCTCCCAGGGAGGAAAAAGATGTTCATTTAGCATTAAAATATTTGATTTCTGAGTATGATACACTTGGAAAACTACTGTGAACCATCCAACAAATGTTGACATCTTACATTTTAATGGATTATTTTTTCCCTAAAAGACCCAGTATTAGTATTACAAAGCTTGATGCTTTTAATTTTCTGTTAATGTTATAAAACATAATATTTGTATAATAGATGTTTTTTGCACTGAATGTAACTTTGCAGTTCTTTCATTGTAGATGACAGATTGTCTGAGATTTCTGCTCGCTCTGCAGCTTCTAGTCTCCGGGCTTTCCAGACGCTGGCACGAGCTCAGAAAAGGAAGGAGAACTTCTGGGGCAAAACGTGAATAAATATGTACCTAGTTGAGTTGCTTATATTTAGGGAACTGTTGGCATAATTTTTCTTTATTGCTTACTGTGTTAAGATTTTTCAAGTTTTTTTTTTTTTTTTTAACATTCTCTACTTAAAAAGAGTTATTGGCTTTTCAATAGTCAATTTAATTTACTTGGAAATTTTTAACACAGGTTCATTCAATTTAACTTTTAAAGAATTCTTTTTACATCTATCCTAAGGTACAAAGAGATAGATGACATAGTTCTTCACATGTTCTAACTTTTGTATTAGGTGTCATGGATGGCTGCTAGAATTCAGAATTTCACCCATCTAGAGAATATTCTAAAAGGATGAACAGAGTGAAATAAAAATTAAGATCCAAGTTTGAAGTATGATTCTTTTAATATTGGTTATATGTCTCTTCATAATTGTAGAAGTCATAAAAATGAATTTGTTGTTCCTTTAACTTTTACTGTAATGTTTATTTTAGTACCTTCTGTGTGTGTTACAGTGTTATTTAAGATAATTGTATTTTAGATTGAAAATACTAGCTGTATATATTTTTATTTATGTAACAAAGTTTGTTGAGAGAATATGTATATTTTTGATCCTTGTGTGTATTCTATTTGTATAAGAACTTTGGCTTACATTTGAATAATGTCTGAATTTTGAAAAATTGTTTGTATAATGGGATTTAAACTTTGTAGACATTTTGAAATAAAAATTGATCAAGTGTGTTTGTCTTCTCCAGAAAGTTATTAAATTGAGCAAGTAATTTATCTTTTAGAAGTATTAATCAAAAGTTATACTTCTTTTGCAGCTGTCAAAATGCAAACAAACTGAGTCCACAATATTTTTGCATGAATATAGGACAAATACAGAATTTCCAAGGCAAGCTTTTTTTTTATTTTCTTTTAACAATACTCTTTAACGCTTCACTCATGGACATGCTATTGCAAATCACAGTAACTTTAACTTTCTAAAAAATACAGATTTCATAAAATACAGTGTTTAAAATCTTTAAGATATAGGGTACTGAATATTAAATATACTGTCTGTTGGTTAGAAAACAAGTGAACTATCTGTTCTAAAGTGTTTAATTTGGTCAAAGTACATCTGCAAGCCATTGATTTACAATAAGTTATTAATGATTTTAAGTTCTGTGAAGTTGAACTGTGGGTATGTGAATATTTGCCTGCATTCCACTGATCTTTTCAAGTAGTTTATTCATAAAAAAATTTTAGTAGAGCACTAAAGATGCAAATAAAAGTTAGAAATAATTTAGTGTATAACTGGATTTTAGAACATACATTTTTTTTAAATTTATAAAAAAAATTTTCTTACTGAACTTTAGATGAAGGTTTACAGAACAAACTAGCTTCTTATTAAACAATTAGTATACATATTGTTTTGCAACATTGGTAGACAACACTCTCCCCTACTCGACCTTGGGTTCCCTATTATCAGCTTTCCTGTTCCCTCCTGCCCTCTCGCCCCCACCCCTTGTCTGGTGTGCCTGTTTAGCTGCATTGTATTTTATGGGCCTGTCTCATCTTTGGCTGAAGGGTGAACCTCAGGAGTGACTTCATTACTGAGCTAAAAGCGTGTCCAGGGTCCATACTCTCGGGGTTTCTCCAGTCTCTGTGAGACCAGTAAGTCTGGTCTTTTTTTCCTTTTTTTTTGATGAGTTAAAATTTTGCTCTACATTTTTCTCCGGTTCTGTCTGGGACCCTGTATTGGAATTCCTGTCCGAGCAGTTGGTGGTGGTCGCCGGGCACCATCTGGTTGTGCTGGACTCAGTCTGGTGGAGGCTGTAGTACTTGTGGTCCATTAGTCCTTTGGACTAATCTTTCCCTTGTGTCTTTGGTTTTTGTCATTATCCCTTGCTCCAGATGGGGTGAGTCTGATGGAGTATCTTAGATGGCTGTTCACAAGCTTTTAAGACCCCAGATGCTACTCACCAAAGTAGAATGTAGAACATTTTCTTTATAAACTATGTTATGCCAATTGAGCTAGATGTTCCCTGAGACCATGGTCCCCACAGCCCTCAGC